ACTCAGTGCTGGAGATTGAACTCAGGACCTTGTGCATACTAAACAAGCACTCTGCCACTGAGCTCGGCCCCCACCAGCCTGGCAGTTTTATATATATGGTTTGTGTATGTGTGTGTGTGTGTCTTTTTTTTGAGACAGGGTCTCACTATTCAATTCAGGCTGGCCTTGAGCTCACTTTGCAACTGAGGCTGGCCTTTAACTGGCAAGGGTACTCCTGCCTCAGCCTTCTGAGTGCTGGAAATACAGGTGTGCACCACCACGCCCGGCTTATATGGTTTTTTTAGTTTCATTTTTTGTTAGTATATGTTTGTGATTCATGATTATAAGTTCATTCATCTTGGGGGAATGGTACATATACATATTGCATCTGAATCATTTTTACTTCCCCTTCCCCTCCTCACCCTCTCACCTTCCCTGAAACCCTACCCTCTTCCCACAGCCACAGTCTACACAGTCCTTATTTCCTATCATCTATCTTTTATTGTGCACTAGAAATTATTTATACTTTGTGCTTCTTATGTAAGAGAAACCATGTGATATTAGCTTTCTGTGTCTGATTTATTTTGCCTGGCAATATGGTCTCTAGGTGGATCCAGTTTCCTACAGATGACTCAAGCTGATTCTTCTTTATGGCAGAATAGTACTCCATTGGGTACAAATTCCATGTTTTCTTTACTGATTCATCTGTTGATGGACCAATAGGCCACTTCCAAGATTTAGTAGTTTATATTTTAATGGCTTATTAATAATTGCATCCTATGAAATATCATATCACCTAACCAGTCTCCTAGTCATAGACTATTTACTCTAAGTTTTCACTATGCTAAGTCATGATTTCATATACATTCTTGTATGGAATCTTCATCAAATTGTTTTGAGATCTGTAACCAGAAATGATATGAAATGACTGATCCTATGGTCCTTGATGCATATTTCCAAAGTGTCCTTACAAATATGATACCAGGTTCAGGTCTACCAACACCGCAGGAGACCACCTCAACCAACACCAGTTCTCACTGCTATCTCACAGCGTGTTGGCGGCATTTGACAGCTGAAAAGCCAATAGTCGCTTGCTTTATTTTGGATGTTTTTGCACAAGGTTGCTTTTCCTTCTCATAGGCTTCTTGGCCATTTGAGTGTCGTTGGAGAAGAAGTGTGCTTTTCCTTTGGCCACCTTCCTGGCAGTGCGTCCATGGCCTTGGAGGGAGACTATGGCAGGGAGCTTCCTTGGTTTCACCACCAGCACCCTGGGTTGTGAGAGGTCCTCTTCCCTGGAGAGCTTGCCTGGCAGTGGCGGTCAGTGGCAGAGCCCCCTTCAGTTTGAGCTCCCCTTTCAATGGGCTGGTGAGCCGGGAAGAGCAGCAGGGATTGAGGAAGGTGCGCTAGCAGGCGATGGTGACTTGGGCCCTGAAGGGAAGGAGAGATCAAAGGGAGAGGGAGGACAGCTTGGTGAGCTGCATAGGGGTTCACGCATGTAGAGCTTGGTGTCACGGAGAGGGCAGTAGAAGAGACTGTGGATGTGGAGGACAGGTCAATAGTAAAACAGCAGAGAAAGCAGTGTGGACCCAGAAATAACGACAAGAGTGCAGCTCGAAGGCAGCCGCTTCATTCTTCAGTGTCCCTGCTTTCACTGGGTCTCTTGGTTGCCCACGAGCCACTGTGTGGCCTCAGCAGTCTGCCTACCTCTGCCCCTTTTCACAGCCCCCATGACAGAACTTTAAGGCAAGTTGGAGCCAGGGCCTTTTGCTGAATGTTCTCTTTTAATTTTAATTTTATTTTTATTTTTATTTTTTGGGGGTACCGGGAATTGAACTCAGGAACTTGTTCTTGTCAGGAAGGTGCTGTGCCACTGAGCTATATCCCTAGCTCTGTTCTCCTTTTAAGTTGTTACTGAGGGTTGAACACAGGGCCTTTGCCCTAAGCTATATCTCCAGCCCTTTGTATTTTTCATTTTGAGACAAGAGCTCATGAAGTTGCTGAGTTACTGAGGCTGCGCTTGAACTTGAGATACTCCTGCCTCAGTCTCCTAGAGTGCCGGGATTACCCCTAGAGTGCCTATCAGGCTTGTGTCTTTGTTACATCAGTAGTAGATGTGTTTGGTTTTGCACAGCTGTCTCACCACTGAGCTAAATTTTGTCTCCTTTGACATGATGGAAGTGGAAGGGCTGAGCATGGGAGGCTGCCAGGGATGGAGGTGGGCATGGCTGAGCGGTGGCCAGGGACAGTCAGGGAGAAAGTTCGCACTCAAAGGCTCTGGCCCACTCCGAGCAGAGGTGGTAGATCTGAGAGTAAGTCCCTGCCTGGCCTGGTGGATGGAGCTCAGAGCCGCATTCATCCCCATATTCTGCCTTCTCTTCCTGTGCTCCTTCTCTAGGGGAGGGGCCGCTCTGCCCTCCTATCTTGGAGGGTGCCTTCTCCACTCACCCCCCTGCAGCCCTCTCTCCCACTCACCCAGGGGCTGCCACAGTGCCGGCCCCAAGCAAAACCACCTCTTAGCCCTGTGCCCACCTCTTTGTCTCCCACACAACTCAATCGCTTGTGACCTCAGGGACCAGGCCAGGCCCTGGGACCACAGGCAAATCAGCCCCAGTCCGCTCTGGGGGATGAGGTGGGAGAGGCTGTCTGGGGGTGTGTAGGTGTCCACGCAGGGAGAGGACAGCCCTCTGCCTCTTGTTGAGAGGCCTTCTAGGAGGAGGTGTTACCAGAGATATGGTGCTTCCTTTTCCTTTATAAAAGATGGGATTTCTGGAATTTAGTCATAAATCTTATTGCAATTCTTATGTTATAAAAGTAGAATGTGTTTCCTGTGACAAGTCAAACAATGAAAAGGCATATAAAAGCTGTTTATGGCCATCTTCCTAACTGATTCCTGAGGGATGGATGGGTGAGGGCAGGTGACGTTTCTGGACTGCTGCAGAGACTTCTGCTGTCACCCTATTACCCTTAAGGACAGCACACTTAAGCCCCAGGGTCAAGGCAGATCCAGTGAGAACGTGTTAGGTTAATGAGATAAAGGGTACTGGAGAGTCTGCCCGATACCGGTTCCTGAGTATTTATTTTAGTTTTTTCAGTATTCGGAACCCAGGGTCTTCACAATGAGCTACATTCCCAGTTTTTTTTTATTTTTTATTTTGAGACAGGGTTTCCATAAGTTACCCAGGCCAGTTCATACTTGTGGTCTTTCTGCCTCAGCCTCCCAGGGTGAGACAGGGTTTCCATAAGTTACCCAGGCCAGTTCATACTTGTGGTCTTTCTGCCTCAGCCTCCCAGGGTGCTAGGAAAACAGGCCTGTGCCACCACTCCTGGTTCCCAGTGGTTCTTACCTAGTGGCTGGAGTTGGAGGGGGGGCATAGGGGTTTTGATAGGAAGGATAGCTTTGGATTTTGGGGTGGTGGGAACTCTGGGGCCAAGAATAGAGGTGCTGGGTGGGTGGGGTGGAGATGATCACAGCCTGGGGATGTAGCTGAGTGTGGAGGCTCTGGGTTCAACCGCCAGCACCATAAAACTAACTAACTAACTAACTAAGTAACTACTAAAAAAGAGGACCCTGGAGCTAGGGCTCACTGGCAAAATGTTTGATTAGCATGCACTGGGCCCTGGGTCTGATCCCTGGCCGTGCAAAACAACAACAACAACAACAACAGCAATAACAATAGCAACAAGATCTTCTGAATCTTTTTTTTAGGAGTTTAGAATTCCACATTACACTTCCACATGAGCTGCACTGATGAGCTGCTTGCTACCTTTTCCCTAACGCTGTCCAAAGCCCAAGACCAGAAGTGGTGAGCTCAAGGTGTCTTGGCTGACTGTCTAGGTGGCCTCGGTCCAGGTGCAGCTTAGCCTCTCCCCGTGACAGCCTGTGTCTTTCAGGACGCTGAAAGGCTCTCTGGGAGGGCAGGGTCTGGCTCTGTTCTGCTGGTGACCACAAGGGCTGAAGTTGACTGGCCCTCCTGAGAGGGGACAAAGTGCTGCTCTAGGATAGTCTTGAGGAGGGGCAGGGGACTGACAGGGATGTCCTAGTGACCCAAGGGTGAGGGCATCCTTGGTACAAAGACCCTTTCCATGTATGACCTTTTTCACCACACAAGTGGGATGAAGAGGCAGGAATTATATTCCCACTTTTCGAAATATTTCTACACTCATGCTCAGTTGTTCCAGGTGCTACTGAGAAGAAAGAGTAAGCCCTCCAGTCGCAAGACCAAGCCTCACTCTTACTATGACACAATCATAGCCCATTGAGTGTTGAAGAGACTGCCGAGGTGGGGTTGTGCTGACCACAGGTTGGCCGGGTAGAGATGGCAGTGTTCCGGGAAGGTGGCTAAGTCCTATGTGTGTGAACGTATCTAGAGAGAAAGGGAAGAGAGACTTACCTGTGGTAAAGTTGCCTGCCATGATCCTCCTATTCCTCATGAGTCAATAGCAAACACGTGGGCAAAGGTTAGAGGGGAGTCCAAGGGGTAAACAGGAAGGGACTTAGCCAGAGAAGGTAAGGTGAAGGTGTGGTCTGTATACCACAGAACGTGAGCAACACAGGGAATGTGCCTGGGGTGATGCTGTGGGTACAGATATTGAGAATTCATGCCAGAGCCCTGGGGCAGAGGAACAGAGCTCAGTGTGCTAGGGAGGTATGCACAAGGAAGGTGGGGCAGAAGTGAGGACACCAGGATCTGCATAACCACACAGGTTTGTCAAAACTGACAGACCCATTCCAAGCAAGTAAAGCCACTGATCGCAGTAAAGCTCTGGAAAATTAAATAGTGACACCTTAAAAAACTAGGCAAAATATTGCATTAACAAAACAGTAAGACGCATAGAACACAATTGGAAACTTGGCCAGATCTACAAGTTCACACTGGAATTCCTGTAACTGTAAAAGAAAGAACGGGTGCACAATCGGGGGTGACAAGTCGTGCCCAGTTTACCTGCCTCAGGAATACGGACACAAACCAGTCTGAAAAACTTATGACCATGCTGCCTTCTCTGATTTATCTCCACCACAGGGTCATACAAAACCACACTGACAGAAGCTACTACAAATTTTTCAACTGGATTAAAAACGACTGGCAATTCTATCGATTCCAGTGGGCATGTGTCCACGACCAGTTCATTCAGCACCGGTTCACAACCCACAAATGCATCGTCCTCCAGTTCCCTTAGCACAGCACTTTCTGAGGGATCTGCAATCACACCAGGGAGATCAGCTGTATCACCAACAACAGACTCCAGGGAAGGCTCAACATACACAGTCCCGCATGAAGGATCCACAAGCACTGCCCAGTGGTCACCAGCAGGAACCACAGCCACGCCCGCTGCTAGCTCCCAAACCACTGTTTGGACTGGGCCCTCCACAGCCTTCCCAAGCAGCCCTGGTTCAGCCCAGGCCACGCTGCCAACACACAGCTCCCAGACCCCAG